TTTTTGTAAATACTTGTACATTCTCAGCTTATTTATTGTTATTAAAAAAAAAAAAAAAAAAAAAGATAAATCACATACGTTATTAACAGAGACAGATGCCAGAACAAAGATGGAAATACAAAGTCATTTTTGAAAAAAATTTATTACGAAATCTCATGTTACAACTTGCCATTATTCACTCTTTTTGTACAAAATCTATGGGTGGTGCACAACCCACGACCCATGAAAAGGAAATAAAATACTTCCGTCACTGGAGTTCTTTTGACCATGTGCTGTCCATGAAAACTTTTACTGACAAAAAACAAAACAAAACTGCTGTGTCTCTCACTGTTTGTGTACCTGGGTTAGACAATAAATGGTGCCCTGCATCATGTGGAACATACTTGTCACATAACCTGGGTCAAAGAGCATTTGCAGTGGAATGTGCATGGCCTGACAGGTGGCTGCAGTTTACTACACCGTGGGTTATCAAAGAAGTTTAAAAAAAAAAAGCTTTAATTGACAAAACTGCAAATGCTTTTACACTCAGGTTTATGACTTATTCTTGGCCTTTGAATCTCCAAAAGAAAAAAATAAACAAAACAATGTCCTGTACAGTCTGGATTTGTGGTTTTAGTTTGATTCATCCAATCGGTGTGTACAGTTCTAAATAGGAAATTAAAACCAGATGAGCCAACTTTAGCAAACAGAGCCTCTCATTCTAAATCATTTTACTGAAAGCGAATCAGCACCTGGTACAGCTGGAGTTTAGCCCTCCACCTTCCACAGAGCTTTATTCAGTCCAGTATTTTAAGTGCCTCAACTAGTTAGTCTGACAAAACACGGTTTTCTACCATCAGACGGTAAATCATCCAGATATATTTAGTGGGACCACGAAAATCTGACCCACACATGCAACTTGTTCAATCGCTAAGCTAAGAACAAATGACAATCATCGTCAGAAAGGTGATGTGACAGTTGTATGACGGTGCTTTACTCCTCAAAACTGGCTTTAAGTGATCCAACTGTCCCCAAATCTACAAGGTTTTTACTTTTCTCCACATCTTTTTTTTTGGCCTCTAACCTGCTTGAGAATTTTGTATGTTAGCAATTATGAATAAAAGTTTGGAGCATTTTGGGTGGAAATTTAGGAGATTCATGTCGCTACATAGCATTCACAGGAGGAGCGAACTTAAATCCATCAGAGGAGGAACAAGCATGGAAGAAAGAAATATTCTGCCGTCTTTTAGAAAGACTCAACAGTCCTAATGTTGCAGCCCACTGACGTCACAGCCGGAGATAATGTCAGTGAAACACTGACTTTGATTATCTTGTGCAAATGTGCCACAGGCACGGGAGGCATCCAGGTAAGTACTGTTATTTCTGGAAGTTTGTCATTTATTACCAAAGCATTTATTTGTATTATAATTAAGATGTAAAAAATATGAAGCTGTTGCCATTAATTTAGTAGTGCTGTTAATTTGTTTTTGCTTTTTTAGTAATGAGTATTCGTGCTACCTGTTCATAAAGTTAGTGTGGAGCCCTCCATATGAAGCCATCCAACATGAGCAGTCTGAACAACAGGAAAACTAAACAGAAGCAGTTCAGTAATAGAGAAATGGGGCAAAATGGTCCAGGCCTGAGACTCTGAATACTAGAAGAAGAGAAGGGTGGCTGATTAAGATCACAGGAGTAAGAAATGATGTAGGATGTAGGACTGAGATTCTTACAAGAACTCTTTCAAAGTCTGGTCAGGATTGTTAATAGAAAATAATGTAATGTCCATGAGCCATGATCAGACTCCTGTGATAACAATGTCACCATCACAACTTCTTCTAGTCTGAATGGGTGTTTCCCTGAGAGTTAAGTCAGATGAGCCATCGCTGGCATGGATATGAAGTACCTTCATCTTAACACTCAACTTCACATTGGGGTGCCACAACCTTTGCAGCTTTTTGAGTGACAGTACAGTAACATTAATGGCTTACGATTTAACAACAGATTTCACATTTAAAATTTAAAAAAAAGTCAGAAACAATAGATTTTTTTTATTTGAAACAGGCAGAAACTTTAGTGCCGCCCTTTTAATAAACAACATAGTTTGATATCTGTGCGAGGAGTTCTGGTTCTGATAGGTTGAGCAGTGCTTGTAAAGTGGTTGTCAGACATATAACTTTGTTTGTACACCCAACCAATAACATACAATCTGCAGAAGATTTAAGGTCGGGCAACAGCAATGAGAAATACATTCACATTCCAAACACTCTACCGAGTTATTCTGTCCTTTATTAATGGACCGACTGCATCAGTCTGTTGTTGGCTGACTCCTTCCTAAACAGCACCCGAGTGGAGACAGAGATATAAAGAGGTTTTGGCCACCGTAGGAGAGAGAGTGGTGGCCCACACTGCATATCTATGCAGTGTGGGCGAGTAGAGTGGTGGAGAGTGAGCGCTGACTTCCCTGTTTCTACAGCTCGTCTCTCGCCTGCCTCATCACAAAGTTGTGCAGACTCTCCATGTCGCGCCCACCGTGATGCTCGTCTCCCTGCTCCCCGGCTCTGAAGATAATCAAGGTGGGGTAACCTCGCACCTGTGACGAAACAAAAGAACACCAGCAGGGCCTTTATTCCACTTACTTTGTCACGGTTCAAAATGTATTCAATCCAATGTGACATGCAGTATGAACATACACCGTCATTTTTGGACTATAAGCCGCTACTTTTTTCACATGCTTTGAACACTGCGGCTTAAACAATGATGCGGCTAATTTATGGATTTTTACACATTTGCTTCGAGACGAAAGTGACGTTGAGAGCAACAACGAAAGAGAGACTGAGGAAATGTGTCACAAAGTAATTCTGAGGCTGTTTAATTCTGCCATGAAGTAGACGACTTCAGTGGTTTTAGTGCGCAGGAGGAAGATGAAGATAGCGATCAATGATTTTTCCTGGTCGGCTACTGTATTTTTTATTTTTTTAACCAGCCGTGTTACAGGCACGGTTTGGAAAAAAGCATTTATCTGTCTATGTTACTGGTATGTATTTAATTAAAAGTTTTTTAAAAATCCTTCTGCGTACCATCTTTCTATTCAAATGTCTCATGTTACAACGTAGACACCTGCGGCTTATAGACAAGTGCAGCCTATATACGTACACATTTTTTTTCTTTTTAAAGTTAGTGGGCGGGCCTATATTCAGGTGCGCTCAATAGTCCAAAAATTATGGTAATCAAGCACAATCACAGCCCTGATTTTCAACTATGCAGCTGAATAACAAGACTGACAACAAAATCGATGACTTATTTGAAATAGTGTCAATTAGTGTGGAGCCAACTCTGAGTAAGTAATAAATTAGACCTAGCAGTCTCTATTAGGTTGAGCAAGTTCAAAGCTGTGTTAACACAGCGGATGGTCATAAGCAATCTGTTCCTCCTGCTGCCAAAAATCATAAATTAATCCAGCAAGGCTGTTGATGTAGTGCTTTTCTCCTTATGAAAGCAACATCAGCTATTGTTTGACAATGAGAATTTGGTCAGATGAAAGCATAACAACCAACCAATCGATCGACTGTCCACCTGGAGAGTACAGCCTAAGATAAAACTAACTCTTTATTGCAGTGGAAGTTAAAAATCAGTCATGTTTATAGGTGTAAAGTTTTATTGTTTATTTCACTTATTTAATGTGATTGCACTCTTTATCCCTTATAAAAACATTTCAGGCAAATCTAAAACAAGACTAGGACTCTTTAAATGTAAAACCTCTTCATCACTAGATAACTCCTTTGGCTTTCATCTCAGTAATAATACTCAAGCTCCACATAAACTCAAAGCTATGAGTGCGTGTGCGCCAACATTCCTTTACCCACAACAATGTAAAAATCTGCTTTCAGTCTGTAGCATCTAATTAAAGTACGTGACAGTTCCAATATTTTATGGCAGTGAGATAAACCACCATCTTAGCTTTATTACATCCAGTTTAACACTTAATCTTGCAGAAATAAAATGCTGACAGAAGAGTGGGGTGGGGGCGAGAGAGAGAGAGAGAGAGAGAGAGAGAGCGAGAGAGCGAGAGAGCGAGAGAGAGAGAGAGAGAGAGAGAATCAGAGTGCAACATGTTTGTTTCAAAGCTGTGAGGTGGTGGTGAGCACAGAGTGAAGATGATGTGCTGATATACTTACAGAGTATTTGTTGCAGAGCGTGCGCTCGACAGTGCAGTCCACCTTGGCAATCTTGACATCAGTGAGGCCAGGAAACTCCTTCTTGGAAAGATCCTCCCATGTTGGAGCGAGATTCTTACAGTGACCGCACCTGAATAAAAGAATAACAGTAGAGTTCCATCACTTTCACTGACTGGTAGATTGTTAAGAGAAGGTATTGTCAGTGTTTGAAACCATAGACTGTATAAAAGATGGACGTAGCTACCGTGACGTCACCCGTTGGTTTCTGCACTGAGAAAATGAAGCAAGGGTTTTGCTACTTCCTGGTTGACATCTTGGATTTTTGGAGCCAGTGACGCAAAAATCGTCAGAGGGGGGCGGAACCATAGGTGCAGCGATTGGTCAGACGGATTGAGAGGCAGGCCCTCTCTGCCCGCCCACATTTATCGCCTTCTGCTCGCTTCATCTGTATAGTCGCTGCCGACTGTCAATCAAGCCAGCCACACCCCTTGCCCCTCAAAATTTTGAAGATTTTTAAAAAATTCAGTATTGATTTATTTTCAGATTGGCCACCTGATCTCTGGACTTGACCATGAAAACTAATTTTTAAAAAATCCTGAGCTGGAGGAACGCGGTATTTTGTGATCTGTGATCACTTCTTTTCCAATTCATTTCTATGGGAGCCAGGGCTTTTTGGAGCCAGGACTAGCGGACGTAGTGATATATTGCAGGTTTTTGACACTTCCGGGTTGGCTTCATTTTTCAGGGCCGGTTGCTATGTCCATGTTTTATACAGTCTATGTTTGAAACTAATTTATTAAGCACATTTCAGTGTCACAACTCAACAATTTTTCTGTTAAAGAAAAGAGGTCGGTATTGTTTGACACTTGGATTAAGTTTTCTTGAGGTGACAAAAAATGCACAATTGTTTCAGCTATTAAAATTCCTGTAAATTAACAGGCTTTTTTAAACACTTATTTGTCACATAGTCCAATAAAGATGATCTTACCAGGGAGCGTAGAATTTGATGAAGGTCAAGCCCTTGGCTACTGCCTCGTCAAAGTTGGTCTCAGTCAGGACCAACACGCTGGACTGCAGGCAGAGAGAAAACATAATATCTGATTTGTTTGCATTTGTATTTACCTGACCATTAGCATTCATTTTACACTGGAGAGAGTAAGAGTTTCCAAACTATGTGTCGAGTTTATGGTTCCTAATGATGCCTACATCATCTCATTAAAAAAAAACAACAAACAAACAAACAAAAAAAACTGTGGCAGAGTTTATCAGGACAGTCCCAGTGGGACACTAGCCAAGATCAACAAAGAAACACAGCAGATAGTTGCTGGGATGCAGTGAGTCAGTTCTGCACACATATGGGTGAAGTTCTGATATCAGTCAGTGGGCAATAGTTTACCATACCAAAATAGTAGTTAAGTAGGTGCTCCATTCAGAGATCTACTGTATAACGACTACATATGGGGGTGTTGGGTCCAATCCAAGCAAGCACCAGTGGTTTCACTGCAGTATGAAATGACTGTCTCCCTTTATACAGCTGCCCAATCACAGCAAACCTTTAATGTAAAGGCTGGAACCCTTTATTTCCATCATTTACCAAATGTACAATTAAAGGCATGTTACCATTAGAGAAATTGGACAAGTAGAGTGTCAAGAACAGAAAAAACAAACAAAAAAAATCAAGTGCCACACAGGATAATCTGTTTGAAAGATCATCATTGCAACTGTTGTATATTTTAAGTATGTGAGCTCTGACTCTATCAGCATTGTAGTCATCTATAGATGCATGCTGGCAGGTTAAACATGTCACACAATTGTAACATGAATAAGCAGTTAATACACCCATCAGCCACAACATTAAAGCCAGCGTGTAACATTGATCATCTGGTTCAATACAATGTCCTGTTGGGAAACATTTAGTCCCAGCATTCATGTGGACATTATTTTGACATGTGGCACCCACCAAAACGTTGTCGCAAATCAAACATGACCCCTTATGACACGGCAACAGTGCTCTCTGATGACAGCAGCTGGCACGTGCATCCCACCATGTCACAAAAACTGCTCGAGAACAGCTGGAGGACCATGACAAAGAGCCCCAGCTGCTGACTCTGCCTCCAAATTTCCCAGAGCAACCAAGCATCCAGAGGATGTGCTGGAGCAAAACCAATCCACATCGGGACCCATCCCAGAAGACCACAGGACCCAAAGGATCCACTGCCAACATACCTATGGCAGACACCGCAGCACACCCCCATGCCCATGCCACAATGATTCAGAGGTGCCTCGGTTGCACAAAAGGGACCTACACAGTATTAGCCAAGTGGTTGTTAAAGTTGAGGCTAACTGGTGTACACAAAAAAACCTCAAATAAATAAATTAATTAATTAATTAATTAATATACTTCCTCGATATCTTTTGTACCTTTTCTTCCTCTTTGGCTGGCTCATCACTGGGGATCTCATTTGCTTTTTGTTCCTTATTTGGTTCCTGCCCTTGCTCTTCAGTGAGTGCAGCCTTCAGCTGATTGTCGACAAAGTCTTTGAAAGATTCCAGGTCTCTTTTTCCTTTGTATTGTTCTGTCTAAAAAAAACAAACAGACAAAAACAGGTGTTAATACAATTTTGCAGACACTGACACTCAATTTAACTAAATTATACAGACATTAAATTAATGATCCTCTATGATCTCTGAACCTATTCAATACATAGAGGATTGAGGTTCATTTAGGAAAACACTATAATTAGGAACCACAGACACTTTTGGACATTAAGAACACAACACGAAGCAAAGTCAGCTGCTATGTGTACCTTGCACTAAATGATAGTTGTGTTTGATAACAGCACCATAGTGATTGATCATTATCAACCATAGCTTTACTCCACTGAGCACCAATATAAATGTCTGCTCTTAGCTGTAATGGGTATGCCTGTGTTTTTTAGTATAGTTTATGCATTTAACTATTTAAGGCATCCAAGTATGATGTAATGTAGTGGAGGTTGTTAATCTGCAGTAAATCTAAGGTGTCAAGGAGAAAAAACATGACAGCCACAGTGGCAGTAGGTCAGATGCAGACAAGTTTAGTCAAGTCAAAGTCACTTTGTCAGTTCTGTACTACGTGTACACATACAGAGAACTGAAATTTCTCTCAGAGCCTCATTTAAAGAAAAACACAAAGTTTAAAAATAAATATACAAACTAAAAAAATATGTCAGCTAAACATATAATACGCTAAAAATATACAGTCTAGAAACAATAGATGTAAACATTAAAGAAAACAGAATGATCTGCATAAGGCACATTTTAGGGAGAGAGAGAAGATGCAGCATCTGCACGCGCCACCATCTTGAACCAAGGTAAAAAGTGAGTCAAAACGTTGTGCATGCAGAGTTAATTCAGGAAACTACTTGTGCATACCTTCTGTCCATTGTAGAAGAAGAGCAGCGTGGGATATCCTCTCACACCGTTCTCAGAGCACACCTCATAGTGCTGCGTACAGTCCACCTAGGTCACAAATGTATGAACATGTGTTGTCAAACGGGAATGAAACATCACTGCAAACACTAGCAATGTAAAGTGTTGGCTTAATAACCACATGTACAAACAGGATCAGGATCCTGTTCTGCCAGATTGATAACAGGAACCCGGTAGTGAGAGAAAATGGAGCACTGAAACTACACTACGATGAGCAACACCAGTGAGTGCCATCAAAAGTGTGCCACATAGGATGCTGGATTTGCAGGGAAAATAGAAAACTTTTTTTTTTTTTTTTAAATGACGGGGAGAATAATGCCCATGTAGTAGCTTTGATCCCATTCATATCAGTATCTGTTGCTCTACTGTTTCAACACCTCTTTATAATAAACAGGTTTAGGACCCTGTGAAGCTGCTCACAACCCGAAGGACCCACCTTTCCTATCTTTACGTTATCAGAGTGTTCAAAGGTAGTGGCCAGCTGTTCCCAGGTTGGAGCCATGGCTTTGCAGTGGCCACACCAGGGCGCGAAGAACTTAACAAAGTGTGCACCTGAAGCAGAACAAGAAAAATAGCAAGAAACACAAATGAAAAACACAACAAAATGCAGAAAATAAAATGCCTCGCAGTGTAGACATTCACACAAATCTGTAGTAAAGTGAAGCTTTTGGGTTAATGTAAAAAGCTGATTACACTACAACCTCTGTATAGCTTGCTGTAAATGAAAATATACACCTCTTACAGGTTATACACAAGCAATTACACAACGTTTATTGCAGCTCCGTTGCCAAGATGTGAAGGTGGGACCTATAAACACGGTTTTAAAAATGCTTATGTCATATCCTGCCTTTTTTCGTCTCCAAACAAGAAATCATTTATTTTTCTTCAAAACATTCAACTTCAGTCAAGCCGTAATTTCAACGAGATGATTATCGTGAGCGGCGTTTTTTTTTTGCAATTGCTGCCTGAAAAACCAAAAACGTGAGGTGACAGGAGACAAGGGGGTTACAAGGTTGGTCCGTGTTGATTGACGCTGTGGATCGTGGCTCGGGTACTTGTGTTGAAATGACAGTTATGTAAATCAAGGCAATGGACTGTTTCCATTCTCTAATGAGGAATCCAGAAACACTACTCAGTGTGGCTGAAAACTGAAAGTACATGTAAAAATTTTAAACAAAACAGAAACTGTTTGTCTGTTGTAGCAGGATGCAGCTGCATAAACACACCAGATGGAGCTGCCTATGAAATCTCCTAACTTTGTTGCCTTTTAACATAGTATTATCCTGCTTTTCATATACAACATTTTTTACCTTTGGTTATATGGGTCTTAAAGTTGAGGGCAGTGAGCTCATACATGCCCTGTTTGGGCTCTGGGGCTTTAGGAGGCTCCAGCTCAGTCTCTGGTTCCTGGAGGACATACAACAACAAACATGAGCACGATTCTTTGATTGTACATTACTGGTTTTGCATATTTCAGGTGATAAATGAATAAATGAATGAATGAAATGAACAAACAGCACTCACAGAAGGCTCATCCTGGAGTGTCTTTAGCATCCAGGTCTCCAGAGACTGCAGATCTCTGGGACCCTGGTATTTAACTGCTTCCTGATCGGGCTTAAACAACTTCAACCTACAACATAACAGAAAAAAAAATGTTTTGAATTGCACAAATAGGCAGATTTATGATTCAAATCTACATCTTGACAAATTTAAATCAGTCATCCATCCAGGCTAAAAGGAAACATGAGAAGTTTAGTTATAGAAACTGGCATTCTGTCAATCATTATCCAGTGACTGCTGTGTTTTGTAGACACAGTATGCAGTCAGCAAACTCCAGTATTTAAGAGGATTACATTAAGATAATGGAAGAATATTCAACTAAATGCACGTCAATGTGTCACTTCTGTCAATCAGTGATATAAAAAAAACTTGTTATCTCTGCTGTGTAAGAGGTGTTGTATCTAAAATGCTACAGCTATTGCACTGTTTTGTAACAGTTACCTGAGCTAAAAATGTAAATGTCTAGGCTACCAAGCAAATAAGCTGGTTTGACATCTGGTGTGACTCTAGTACTTACGTAGGGTATCCTCGAACCCCATGGACATTGGAGCAGAACTTGGTGTCCTGGACGCAGTCTACTTTTACCACATACACGGGGGGCTCATCCATGCTGTTGTATTTGTCTGCCAATTCATTCCATGTTGGCTGTAATCTCTGACAATGGCCGCACCTGGACACAACAGGGATGAATACTGAGTATACAGCATAAATTAATCTTTAAGTTTTTACAAGTTTTGATTTGGTCAAATACATCTGTTGTCCAAGCTGCACTGTAATTCTGGTTAAAAGCAATCATCTTTGAACCGACAACACTTTCAATGTGGAAATGGAAATGTGGAACAATGCCAGTTCATGCTTTCCACATGAAGTAAGGTTTGTTGTTTGTTTTTATCCACACAGTTGTTATTGCTGGACTTTGGAGGTGCTTTAATTTGTACATGCTTTTCATCAGTGGTGGCTAAAAACAGTGTGAAGTTCTAAACTCTCCAGGAATCCCATGCTATGTCCGTCCATGGAGCTTTGGACAGAAAGGAAACAAACTCCAGCTGCATGTTATTCCACAGCGCTCAGCACAATGGCAGAACAATTAAAAAGAAAATACTACTGAAATCGGAATATGGCCAAGTGCAATATCCAAATCACAGGAACTGCAATTTGTTTGATAAAATGTGTCACAAAATACCATCATAAATGAAGCATTACGGTGCTGCAAAGATTCCCTGACCCACCAGTCATATTCTCCAGATGCACAGTAATATACTTGTTCAGTACAGACCACAGCAATAATCACATCATTATTTTTTATATTCTTTTTCAGTGGAAAAAAAGACCTTTCCCACTAAAATCATGACTCATACTGCAATTGCAATATCGGTCAAAATAATTGTAATACGTTTTTGGGGTTTTTTTGCCTATCATTCAGCCCTGCTTGGCAGAAATCATGGACACGGTCCTACAGTCCAAACTGCAATTTGCTGCTACATCATTTAAGCATTTCAAAAACATCTACAGGAACAGTATGTTTTTCTCAGGCCGATGTGAGGGGCAACACAAAGTGTTGACATAGCAGGCCCATGTGTACTTATTGTAGTATGAATGGAACTGTGCACCCACATCGGTCAGCCTACACTGATGCGGAAACCACGACTTGACCTCTTCAGCCCACATAATAAAGATGATGCCAAGGTTTATATATTTATCATGGATTATCTGGGGCATTGTATTCTTAGAAAAACCATGATGCAGATGGTGGCATAATGCTGAAAATTCTCCACTTTCCTCTGAATGAGCACAATGAATTATAAAGGAGTGTGCTTTGTACTTTTAAGTTTAGATGGTTATTTCTAGCGCTGAAAGCCACTTGGGGCTTTAGTTTTACACAATACTTCCTTCATGCTTGAGAATTGGCTGTATTTAAGAATACAGTCAGAAATTACATGAATGCATGTCTGTGAACAGAAAAAATGAGGTCAGAAATTTAGGCTGAAACCTGTTTCTGATACAGCTTTGTTGTAGTAACTGGCTATTTAGGTCAACATTTTATAGCAGGTACTGTATGTAGGCTTGACACTAAATAGACCATATCAAGAATAAAAGTCTAGGTATTAGACAAAGGGCTGAGGAGGATACTGAAACTGTAGTGGTCTGCCTCAGACCAAACAGACTTAAACTTCTAATCTTATCTTCACAAACAACCTCTGTCTTCATCTCCAGCTCCCGGTCATTTCTCTGCATCACACTGGATGGTGAACAAATAAAAAAATCTAATTTTACTGGGAATTCCTGGGAATTACCAAGGCCCTGTGAGGGTCCGTGAACCCCACGTTTGAAACCCCTGACATAACATTAGTCAATCAGTGCGTGCCACGTAAGCGCAGCTTTCCAAACTACAACTTTGAACTGTGATTGAATAATGCAGCTCAAACTGTGAATAACACACAACAAAATGCGCTTAAATGCTAAAGCACATTGTTCAACGTTCATTAGAAAGTTTTCAACAAAATGCCAACCACGAGTGGCCGTTAGCAACGCTAGCAAGGCCCGTGAGAAAAGTGTTCAGTCCGCTCAGCTGCACTTGGCTACGGGGCTTTGCTAGTTAGCGACTAAGCTAACAGCGCCGGCTCATTATAAAGAATGATCGACGTAGCCGAGCAGCTAGCTACGTGCTAACTAGCGTCCCTGCTAACTTGCCGGTTAGCTTTAACCCCGCTTTTAACATGAGTATTCCCATTTTCTGCGTTCGTGGAAGCTAATAAAGAAAGAGAAACGTTACTGGCAGTAAATTCACTTCACGTCGTATGGGGAAAACTTGGTAACTGTTCACTTACCACGGGGCGTAAAACATGACAAAGTGGGGTGCAGTGGGCACCGCCTCAGTGAACATCTCCACAGTGTATGTGTGCTTGGCATGCTCATCTTCTTCTACATCGGCGTCGCAAAACGCGCCGGCGAACAGCAGCGACATATAAATAAGACACAACGTAAAGGATTTGCAGTGCAGTGCTGAAGCCATGGTGAATCTCTGTAGGTGAACAGTGTCCCTGCTGGTGTGAAAAGACCGACTTTGGACGAGCACGCCCCTCTGGCAGGCTCCGTGTGGAAGAATGTGGACTCTGGATGGGACGCTGCTCGCTGGAGATCACTGGAGATGCAGCAGCAGTGTTATGTAGATCTGTGGCGGCCCGCAAGCGCTTTGCAACTCTGGCAGGTTCAAACAAGTGCCACTCTTAAAAGACTTACGAAAGCCTGTTTGATAGGACTGCATCTCTCGAAACTAAAGCAGACGTGGTGCAGTTATTTCTGTAATAGTGTATGAATGAATGGATGAATGACTTCACTGGGGTAGAGTAGAAAAATAAAAATAAAGTTAGGAAATGTAAGCATCAAACACTTCATTTTTTGCATTGTTGTTCACTAGTTTGTGCCTTTCTGCAATTAATTATTTATGGAAACTCAAATTAAAGCACAGGCTGCACTGAGGCTGTCAGACTGCTTTCAAATATTTGTTCTCATGTAGCTTCATTTACTCATTTCATACTATCTCTGCTGAGGCAGCACAGATGGAAGCATGGTTTACTCGTCTGCCCTCTTTTGTGTCTTTTCCCTGAGGAAGGAACCAACTTTAAATGTGCATGTAGCATCTATTCACATCAAAAATACAGTTATTCATTCAAATTCATTTATAGCACCCTGGAATTTAATAACTCATATATGTTTCAGCAAGATTTATTCTCATGTTCAAAGCTTTCTGAACATTTAAAGCATATTATTGCTGCTTTCTTTTCTTGTTTTTATTAGGGTGTGGGACAAATGCATATGTTCTGAACGTAACCAAAAGTCTACATCTATGCATCTATCACATATACATTTAGTATACAGTCGTCCTCAAATGTATTCATACCCTTCCATTAAAGAAAAGGGAAATTTCACCATAGCAACTCAAATAACTAGAAACTGCAAAAAGTAATGATAAATAAAAATTAGCTAAATTGTAATTTAGTGAAATAAGACATTGCTTTTGAATTGTGGTTGAAAAGAATAATAATCAAAAAAGACAAACAAAAAAACTGTCCCGGACAAATTAGAGCACTTGGCTAATGAGCAGTGGGCCAAAATCAAAATACCTGTCAACAAGTGCAGAAGTCTGATTGAGAGTTACAGAAAAGACTTAGTTGCAGTGATTGCCCCAAAGGGTTGTTAAACAAATTATTAGTTCATGGGTCCCATCATGCTTGTTTGCTTGTTTGTTTGTTTTAAAAATATTTCTATTGAACCTAAATTCAAAATCAATGTAATGATTTTTATTTACTATTGCTTTTGTCAATTTCAGCTTATTTCAGTGACAGCTGTTTTTTCCCCTTCTTTAATGGGAGGGTATGAATAACTTCGAGGATGACTGAAGGAGCATAATACTAAAAAGTTGCACGGATATTTCTTTTTATTGCACACAGAGGAATATTTGTCCCATGAGGTTTATATAGTTATATGATATTCGTTTGATAGAGTCTTGGTTGTTTGCAGCTTCTCATTTAGTGTCACTCACTTCACATGTTATGATGAATTAAGAAAAAGACCTGGAGAAAAAATATACATACACTTTAAAGATGGTCACCAAAATCTTAATGTTTTGTTGGCATCCGCATTCTTCATGCAGCAAGGTGGACATGCATATTTACGTAGTCAACCTCATAATGACCCTGATTTGAGCATGTCAATAGAAAAAATGTGATTCCGATAATGCCACTCCAGTCATTAAAACAGATTATTTTCCCCAACAGCAAGTGCCATGTAAGAATATAGTCATTAAGTTTGATCGCTGTGAGCTGTAGTGTGAAAGACAGGAATCAAAATTTAAAAGCAACATTACCCTTTTCAATACTACAGATTTAATTATTGAAAAAGATAATGTTACTTTGACATGTACTACCCATCTAAACATCCCTCCTTGACGACCACACTTCCTGACAGCAGCAGCCTCCCCCAGTAGGAAGATCCAGCTACCACACTAACGACTGAGGAAGGGCTCAACGAATGTGACAAAGAGCCCAAGGTGTCGACACAGCCTTCAAACACCTCAAATCCCAATCCGACCAAGCATTCATGAGATGTGCAGGAACATCCCTGATCTATGGAGGCCCAATCCTGCAACCCAGGTATTCATTTTAATTAGAATATAATTTAAGAGACATTTAAAAGTGTTTGTTTTCCTTCAGCATCTCAGGGCGAAGCACCAGGTGTGGACGAGATTCACCCTGAGATGCTGAAGGCTCTGGACATTGTCGGATTGTCATGGCTGACACATCTCTTCAGTGTCGCGTGGGCATCGGGTACAGTGCCTGTGGAGTGGCAGACCGGGGTGGTGGTTCCCATTTTTAAAAAGGGGGACCGGAGAGTGTGTGCCAATTATCGAGGTATCACACTTCTTCGCCTCAGTTTACTCAAGGGTGCTGGAAAGGAAGCTTCGGTCGATTGTCAAACCTCGGATTCAGGAGGAGCAATGCGGATTCCGTCCTGGTCGTGGAACAGTGGACCAGCTCTTCACCCTTGCAAAGCTGCTAAGGGGGGCATGGGAGTTCGACCTGCCAGTCCACATGTGCTTTGTGGATCTGGAGAAGGCCTATGACCGTGTCCCCCAAGGAAGTCTGTGGGGGGTACTGAGGGAGTATGGGGTACCAGGCTCGCTGCTACGAGCCATACGGTCCCTGTACAACCAAAGTGCGAGCTGTGTCCGCATTCTCGGCAAAAAGTCGGACACGTTCCCAGTGGGTGTTGGACTTTGCCAGGGCTGCCCCTTGTCACCGATCCTGTTTGTGGTTTTCATGGACAGGATCTCAAGGCACAGTCAGGGAGAGGAGGGTGTCCAGTTTGGAAACCTCAGGATCTCGTCTCTGCCTTTTGCAGACAACGTGGTACTGTTGGCTCCATCAGACCGTGACCTTCAGCACTCACTGGAGCGGTTTGCAGCCGAGTGCGAAGCGGCAGGGATGCGGAACAGTACCTCTAAGTCCGAGACCATGGTTCTCTGCCGGAAACCGGTGGATTGCCACCTCCGGGTGGGTGGGTGGGGGGGGGTTGCTTCCTCAAGCGAAGGAGTTTAAGTATCTTGGGATCTTGTTCACGAGTGCTGGGAAAATGGAGCGTGAGATAGACAGGTGGCTCGGTGCGGCATCTGCAGTAATGCGGACGCTGTACCAGAACATCGTGGTGAAGAGAGAGCTGAGCCCCAAGGCGAAGCTCTCGATTTACCAGTCCATCTACGTCCCAACCCTCACCTATGGTCACAAGCTTTGGGTCGTGACCGAAAGAACGAGATCTTTCGAAATGAGCTTCGTCCGCAGGGTGGCTGGGCTCAGTTTTAGAGATAGGGTGAGGAGCTCGGACATCTGGAGGGAACTCAGAGTAGAGCCGCTGCTCCTTTGCGTCGAAAGGAGCCAGTTGAGGTGGTATGAACATCTGGTTCGGATGCCTCCAGGGAGGCTTCCTGTGGAGGTTTTCCGAACACGTCCACCTGGGAGGAGACCCTGGGGCAGACCCAGAACCCGCTGGAGGGATTGTATCTCTCGGCTGGCCTGGCTAGCCTCGGGATCCCCCAGGCAGAGCTGGAAAGCGTCGCCGGGGGGAGGGAGGTCTGGGATGACCTGCTCCACCTACTGCCCCCGGGACCCAACTCCAGATAAGCGGAAGACAATGGATGGATGGATGGATGGATGGATGGATGGATGTTCTCCACCACGAGGAAAATGCCAAATTGGTTAAAATATAAATGGCCCAATGAGTTTCATTTGACTGCACCGCCTTGGCAGGCAGTGGAAGTTCATCTCACACCTAATACTGTCTTTCTAGAACAAACCAGCTGCTCTCATAATCCATCCATTATCTATACACAGCTTAATCCTCACTAGGGTCGCGGGGGGCTGGAGCCTATCCCAGTCGACTTAGGGCAAAGGCAGTGGACACCCTGGACAGGCCACCAGTCTATCACAGGGCTACACTTAGAGGCAGACAACTAGCACACACATATTCACACCTATGGATAATTTAGAATCACCAATTAGCCTCAACACGTTTTTGGACCTTGTGGGAGGAAGCCGGAGAACCCACGCTGCATGGGGAGAACATGCAAACTCCACACAGAAACATCCCGGTGTCCCCACCGGGACACAAACTGGTGACCTTCTAGCTGCGAGGCAACAGTGCTAACCAACTGCGCCACCTTGCAGCACCTCTCATAATACCTCATGGTGTAAATCAATATAGGCACCCATGAAAGGATTACATATTACAGATTCTGCGTGAAGAGATTCACATTTAACATTTTGCTTCAGCCATAAAATATTGGTTGGTTCAGGTAACAGATGGACTGTTGGTTTTCTACACTGATGGTCAGATATGAGTCAGAGTTGCCTCCCTGCCATCGCTGGAAACAATGCTTTAATGTGAGAACATTTCAAGCAAATATAATTATTCCACTTTATTACAGTGGATAAATCGTGCCTCTCGTGGGGGCTGCAGCCTTACGTAATGGCGACAGTGCATATAAATCATGCATCTATTCCCATGGCGGAGCATGTTTGTATGTGTCAGTTCCCAGAGCAGCGAGTACCTGCTGGTTCGCTAAATTGACAGCTCTTTGGAAAGTACTCTGCTTTTTTAATATAATCATGATTTCATGAAACCAAATGGAGACAGCTTTCATTTTAAGCGTATTTCTCTTTAATCATCCACCCCTTTTCCTTTCATCTGGACAACCGGAAGTGTGGGAAGAGGAAAGGAAGAGGTTACAGCATGGAAACAGACAGAGGTGTCGCCTAGAGAGCAACTATGGTACCGTATATACCACTATTCCAGACTGTCAGAGTGCTTTAATGAAGCCAGGACTTCTTGCGTTTGTAGCTATATACTAAAAGTGGGTGCAAATGATCCTACCATGCACAGCCAGAGTCTGAAGTTCTATATACAGTATGTTTCAGGCAGAGGCATTTATGAAGTGCCCTGTGCGCAGATGTATGAGTGTGTCAGTACTTTTGAGGTGGCCGGTTTGAGGAGATTGTCCTGTAGTTCCCCAGACAACCATTGAGATTCCAGTGTTGCACACATACTCACACGAGATTAT